CTTCTCCACTCTTCACTCACATTGTCGTTCTTCTTCACTCTTCACTTTTTGTCTTCACTCTTCACTCATCTTCACCCATGATCTTCACTCTTCACTCATCATCTTCACACATTATCTTCATTCTTAGTCACTCATCTTCACACATTATCTTTACTTTTCCCTCATGATCTTCACTCTTCACTCATGATCTTAACTCCTTGCTCATGATCTTCACTCATGATCTTCACTCTTAGTCACTCATCTTCACCCATGATCTTCACTCTTCACTCATCTTCATCACTCATGATCTTCACTCATGATCTTCACTCTTCAGTCATGATCTTCATGATCTTCAGTCTTCACTCCGCGCTCATGATCTTCACTCCTGATCTTCACTCCTGATCTTCACTCCTCGTTTATGATCTTCACTCCTGATCTTCACTCTTCACTCATGATCTTCACTCATGATCTCACTCCTTGCTCTTGATCTTCACTCTTCACTCATGATCTTCATCTTCACTCATTATCTTCAATCCTCACTCATGACCTTCACTGTTCACTCATGATCTTCACTCATGATCTCACTCTTCACTCATGATCTTCACTCCTCCCCCATGATCTCGCTCCTCCCCCATGATCTCGCTCCTCGCCCGTGATCTTCGCTCCTCGCCCCTCCTGTCTGCTCTGTGCGGTGTGTCTCCTGTGAGGAGGGCTCCTCAGCAGTGCCGTGACCCCCCTCCCCTTCTCTCTCTCTCTCTCTCTCTGCAGTGGTGTGCCCCCTCACCTGTCTGAACGGCGGGCAGTGCAGCTCCCGCAGTCACTGCCTGTGCCCGCCCGGCTTCACGGGCCGCCTGTGCCAGTTCCCCCTCCACCAGGGCGGGCAGGGGGCGGGCGCGGGGGGCCCGGCTGGCGGGGCGGGGGAGCAGCAGGGGGGCAAGCACGGCGCGTACGCCCCCCAGGTGCTGCCTGATGCCAAGAACCCGGGAGAGCAGCCTGGCGCGGGCGGCCAGCTGGCACAGACCCACTCCACCTTCACCCTGCCGATGGGGCCCGGCGCCGGACACCACTCTTCAGAAGGTAGCCTCCGTCCCCCCTCCCCCCCAGCGTGGGGGTCTCTCTCTGTAACTTGAGCTCGGCGGAGGCACGTCCGAGCCCCCACTGCGACCACGAATGATTGAGCAGACGAATGCCGCGCATTGCTCTCTCCACCCTGTCGAACCGTCCACCCTGTTCGTCCAGGGTGGACGGGAGATGGCCGCTGTGCCCGCTGCTCTCGCCGGGCGCTAGCGATGGGTCGCTTGTCCGAAGCCGAGTAGGAGGGACACAGCCGGGCGGCGCCTCCCAGGGTTCCTGAGGAGTGTAAAGTAGTAGCAGACCTGACCCGTCACCGGGCTTTAAGACACAGCGCCGCCGCGGGGCCGCAGTAGGCGGGTGCACACTTGTTGACTCACACCCGCGGGGGTGCGGGCTCGCCCGCTAGGGTCGGGCGGGCTCGGGTTCGAACCCAAAAAATTGGTAGATCGGGGCGGGGGACGGGGTGGGTGGGTTCGTTTCCCAGAACCGCGGGGCGGGTCGAAATAAAAAGGCCGACCCCGCGCATCACTCGTGCACACGCCTCTGATGTGTGAATGGAGGCAACAGCAGACCCGGATAGCGTGTCAATTCAGACAGCCTGCAGCGTTACGGGCTGTGGTCGGCGGTTCAGAAAAAAATGTCCAGATTTTGGCAGGGCTAGCCAGCTCGCGAGCCAATACTGAACCAAATGGCCAAGGAGCAGGTTTCATTCCATGTGAGAAGACAACCGAGTGATCA